AAAATTAGTACTTATTATCACTTGTTAGTGCTTGCAGTATTTCTTGAAAATGCATCAGTATTAATTAGCAAACATATGACTCTTCACTTAAAAACACGTTATTCTAATGTGTCAATTGACCATCTTTTCTTTACAAAGATATAAAATATTGTAATTTTGAAACACTTATTCAAAAGAAATTGTAAATATATTTTGTAAAAGTTATTCACTGATATTAAAAGTTATAGAAATATTTTAGTCAATTAAACAATTTTTTTTCTCTCTTATTTTTAGAGATTTGTGATTATTTATTCGAGATCAGAAATTTATTTCCAAGAATATGTTATAATAATTTGAAGCAGATATGTAAATAATGGCCTAACCATTATGAAAATTTCAATAATAATTTTTAATCATATCTTGCAACACCCATATTATTCTATAATTATTTTAATAAATATACGAATTAATTCCTGATGTATGTATGTATGTGTATGTATGTATATATATATATATATGTATGTATATATGATGGTCATGATCATCATCACTTCGTTCGTAGAGAAATTGTCTTGTACTACGATGATCGCAACATGATTGGAAGCAGAGGTGTTTCTTGTATAATTAAAAAATATATTCAGAAGATTAAAGCAGTCTCTAACTGCTCCCTACCAGGTTGCCATTGCCTCCTTGGTTGATCACCAAAATAAACAACTTCATTTTATTTCTTCATACTTTTCACATTACCTTGTAAATATTTACTCAATTCACATAATATAATTAGTGTACATGCATATATATATATATATATATAATTGACACTTGTATATGTACAATATCCCGTAAATATAGTTAGGGAGTTGAAACATTGATTACTTATTATTATAATTAGGAGATTTGAGCTACCTTATTGGTTGGTGTGACTTCTCTATTTTGTTATTTGGGTTCTTTTTGACCATTTTATTTCGCTTTAGTTATATATATATATATATATATATATATAATTGATGTTGCAAATATGAATTTAAATTTGGGTTTGAATTCAATTCTTCAATGGTTATTTGTAAGTTGAATGCAAATGATCTGTAGTTACTCCAATTAAAGATACTTATTAATTTAATTCTTTATTAAAACTAAAAATGTAATTAATTTATTTTTGAATAGATTAATAAAATATTTATATTTAAAATAATTTAAATTATTAAAATAATTTTCAAAATATTTATATAAATTATTACACTAAATGTATCAACTACACCAAATGTATTATAAATTAATTGACTTACACACACTAAATCAAACATAATTGTGGTAATTCAAGCAGATATATTATATCTATATATATGTTCAAAAGAGGCTGTGATTAATTTATGGAGTAAATACAAAATTATAGTAAAGTATGAAATATCTTGCTTGTTTGTAGTAGCAACATAGAATTTGGTTTTGACTTGGATCCTCAATGTTGTTTATAATAAATAATAAACCAACCAAAGAAAGTCATGACACCATAAATTTCTAAGTATCTGGTCAAACAGGCACAGTAACTATTTCAAACTCGCTTACCTCATTCTCTTCATTAACAAGCAAAAATAACAGATGAAAAATTTTCAACATATATATATATATATATAATTATATATACACACACACTAACTTTGTAAAACATTTTCTAGAAATAAACTGATGTCTTAACTTTTTACTCAATGTTATATACTGTTAGAAAGGATTGTCTATTAGATATATGAACTATCTAATAGACAAATTCTCATATTTCATCTTTGTGAAATTACATCTATCAACAATTTATAGATATATATATTATTAAGAATATAAAATAATTTTTTAAATATAATTAATTATTCTATTTTAATTAACATAAAACAATATTAGAGAGACCAAATATTTTTTAGTTGGATAATTAGTTCTTTTTGTATTTTCTATAAGGGTGTACATTTGAATTCTAAAATATGTGT